ACAGACGGTCTCGTGGAGGTTGCTAGGCTCCACGGTGCAGAGCTCCGGATGCTCTGGGTGAACGAGCCACCAAAATAGAAATCGTAAATACGTCTTATAAAAGTCGCGTTCGAAGACGGGAAGAGGTGGGCGGTGGATCAGGCCGCCACGCTCCTCTGGATCTCACACAGGGTTTCTATTACCCTGCCGTGTACCCAGAGTCCCCACGAGATGGATGTGGAGTCCTCTTCGGCTTGGGCGGAAACTGCTCAAGCCTCTTATACGGCTAACAAGCCAATCGTTAGCCGCCACGTGTGAATAATTTAGCACTAGCCAATCACGGGGAACAAATTTGCATGCCGGTGGCGGGAACTCTTTTGCACCGTGCATTCCTCTTGCAACATGAGCAATGCACTCTGCAAAAGAAGCTGCAGAAAAGGCGGGAAACTCGTCCCTGCACCGGGGTTTCCTCTTGCTACAGGAAACTCTCCCGTGCAATGCTCTGCAACTTGGCGGGGATAATTCTGGTGCCGAAGCACACACACAATCATGCCTTTTGGGTCATGACATTACTGAGCTCCACGACCCAAGAAGCAAAGATACTGTAGATACCAGATATAATTTAATTAGGAGAACAAGCTTAGCACATGAGTAGTATTCTGACTGGTTAGTAAATATGTGATCACACAGTAACTAACTATGTGTTAGCTTATGATTGGACTAACTATGCATCTATGAATGTATGAAAGATACATGATTTAGGAAGATTTTGAATATGGGTGATTTTGGATATGGATATTGCACTTATCTCCCCTTTTGGCCAGTCTGGTCACCTGACTGACAGTGAAAAAAGCTAATTTGGTTATATTCACTGCATCAGTGTACTTGAACCATGTTGAAGTAGGAGCTGATAGCTCATTGGGAGCAACAGCATATGTAATTAGCAGTCAGTATAGTAACTGCTAATATACTGGCTATACCTTGTTAGTATTCCACTGAAAAGTGCATGGCAGTGCAAAGGTTTTTAGTGTTCTTACGCACAGTTCATATTCTAATTGGTTGCTTTCTGTGATAAAGTTTGGGGGCTGAATTGTCTGCTGGTGTAAGCCCTCTTAGCTCTCTTGACTTAAATGGAACTGTGCCAGTTTACATCAAGTCACGCTAGTTTACATTAGCTGACAATCTGAAACCCCAAAGAGTGTTCAATTCCTGAGAAAATATCAATATTAGTGCAGACTGACAGTCACTTGATGTCATGAAGCTACTGCAGCCTTAGCTACAGAGCTGAGGATGACCCCAATTTACAGCAGCGTCCATTGCTGTAAGTATGATCATGAGTAAGAAGTGTTATGAACAAAGTTAATCCCACATGGTAAAGAATGATTCATATTTATTTTCTCCTAGGCCTTGGACAGCTGATAGCTATGGAGCTTTTGTCTGTCACCGGTGGAGAATGTTACCATGTTCCTGGTGAGGCTAGAGACGTAACAGCACAGCACTTCGTATGCTTTGACTCTCAGAATCTGCACAGCACAACAGAAAAGCAGCTGATTATAAGAAATTCTACGTATGTAGCTACTAATAATATACAACATTATACAGCAGGGATGTCCACCTGGCTGCCCCCCAGCTGCATGTGCCCCCCCAAAGGGTTAGCTCCTGCCTAACCACCACTTCCCCCTGCCTCCCATTTCCCATGGATGCCCTGGTCTTTGGGCTCTCCCTCCCTCGTCTGGCTTCCATTTCTTGCTTTTGCTCCTGGGGGCAGGGCAGCAGGAGGAGGCCGGGGTGCCTATACTGCGCATGGGGTGAATGAGAACAGCCAAGATGTTTGCATGACAAGGGAGTGTGTGGCTGTGAGAGGTGAGTGTGCTGCATGTTGCAGGGAGCCCGGCTGCCTGTGCAGTGGGCTGCCTATGAGGCATACATGGCCAGGATGGGGAATCAAGCTGCCTAAGCTCTGTGTATGGCAGGGAAGGGGGTCCACCCATGCTATGTGAACAGTGGAGGTGGGGCAGGTTTCCTGGAGGGGAACCCAATGGTGAGGGGGGCCTTCCAAGCATCATATGGCCCCCAGTGACCTGGAAATTAGTCCTGTTATACAGTACTAACATACTAATAGGTATTACTGGTTGCTGACAGATGTGAACAAAAGACACACTTTACCGAAGAAGCAGTGCATTAGTTTGACCCAGGTCTGCAGCTTCTGTAGAGATCAGGGCTCTTTGAGGCTTTTATGTAAAGTTTATTCAATCTGCTATTAGATAAAAGCATCATAAAATCCCTGATAAAGCTCCTGATCCATACAGATGTTGGGCAAGCCGGATTCAACTAACGCAATCCCTCTTCTGGGCATGCGCTAGACTTGGTGCGGGGCGCACACAGTTTAAAGTAAAGTGCTGTTTTTCTGTTCTTGTTTTTTATATCTGTAAGCAGCCACTGTGTTCTGCTGGATGATAATAGCATCAGAGGGTTAAGCACCAGGGCCTGAGAGCTATTTCAGTTAAAGGACAATGAGTATAAACTGGCCATGAATACATTTAGGCCAGATTAGATTAGAAGGTTTTTGAATCCTTAGAGCAGTAAGATTATGGAACAACTCCCAAGAGTGTTTTCGGGGCAAAAAACCCCCAAGTTTTAAGAACAAACTTGATAAGTTTAGGAAAAGGATTATATGGCCTGGCTGCCTGCAATAGTAAGGGGCTGAGCTTGATGATTTAAGAGGCCCCTTCTGCTCCTTTGTTCTTTCTGTAGCCAGAATCTGCCAAGCTAAGAAAACCTTTATGCATTTAGTTAATTGAATGGATAAATGTTCCTTTCTGTCTGCTCCCTCAGTAACTGAGATAAAAGTGTGCTTACAGTAGCCAAAGAAATAATATGCTAGTGAAATATTTTTGACCAGATTACAATAAATACCTATTATGTATGCTTTGCTTAGGTGTATTAATAGCCCAACTTGACCTCAGAGAACTACTAAACAAACTAATTACTGAGAGCCCAGACAGTTCCATTGAGTGGAGTTTGGATCAAATCCCAGAAGGAAAAATATTTAGTCATTTAAATGCTATGTTGCAGTATAAGTTAAGAAGGCAAGACTGTGTCAGCAGCTCTTCCATACTTTATATAACGTCTGTTATTACAACTCCTGTGTGTGTGTGTGTGTGTAGAGCTCTTACAACTTGTATATCTATCTATCTATAGATCTATATAGATATATAAATCTATAGATAGATATAGATCTATATAGATATATATATAGGTACTGTCATAACATATAGACAGCTCTACTCACATACAGCCTTACTGCACAAGTCCATAGTTTCATAGTTGGTCGGGTCGGAAGGGACTTGAGCAGATCATCAAGTCCGACCCCTTGCCATGGCAGGAAAAAGTACTGGGGTCAAGCGACCCCAGCAAGGTGTTTGTCTAACCTCCTCTTAAAGACCCCCAGGGTAGGAGCCAGCACCACTTCCCTTGGAAGTTGGTTCCAGATCCTAGCCGCCCTGACTGTGAAGTAGCGCCTCCTGATATCTAGTCTGAATCTACCCTCTGCCAGCTTGTGACCGTTATTTCTAGTCACTCCTGGTAGTGCTTGGGGGAACAGGGACTCCCCCAATGCCTGTTGGTCCCCTCTGACTAGTTTGTAAATGGCCACTAGATCCCCCCTCAGCCTTCTCTTGTGGAGGCTGAACAGGTTCAGGTCCCTTAGCCTCTCCTCGTAGGGCCTGCCCTGCTGCCCCCTGATCGTGCAGGTGGCCCTCCTCTGAACCCTCTCCATGTTGTCCACATCCCTCCTGAAGTGTGGTGCCCAGAACTGGACGCACTACTCCAACTGCGGCCTGACCAGTGCCACATAGAGGGGGAGGATCACCTCCTTGGACCTGCTCAAGATGCATCTGTGGATGCATGACAAAGTGCGGTTGTCCTTCCTGACCGCGTCCCCACACTGCCGGCCCATGTTCACTTTGGCATCAATAATGAGTCCAAGATCCTTTTCTGCCTCTGCACTGGCGAGAAGGGAGTTCCCCAGCCTGTAGGTCTGCTGCTGGTTCTTCCTCCCCTGGTGCAGCACCTTGCACTTGTCAGTGTTGAAACCCATCCTGTTCTCATCCGCCCACCCCTGTAACCTGTCTAGGTCCGATTGCATCCTATTCCTCCCTCTAGCGTCCTTACATCCCCCCACATCTTAGTGTCGTCAGCAAATTTTGAACAGGGTGCTTTTTACCCCCTCATCCAAGTCACTGGTGAAGATGTTGAACAGTGCGGGTCCGAGAACCGAGCCCTGGGGAACCCCACTGCCTACGTCCCTCCAGGTCGAAAATGACCCGTCCACCACCACTCTCTGGGTGCGGCCCCCCCAGCCAGTTAGCGACCCATTTGACTGTGTAGGTGTCGACGCCACAGTCCCCTAGTTTTTTTAATGAGAATGGGGTGAGAGACAATGTCGAAGGCCTTCCTAAAGTCCAGAAAGACTATGTCCACTGCTACACCTGCGTCCAAGGATTTTGTGACCTGGTCATAGAAGGCCACCAGGTTGGTCTGACAGGGCCAGTTCTGGGCCTCTAATGAACCCATGTTGGTTGCCCCTAAGCATAATCTCCCCTGCTGGCCCCTTGCGGACATGCGCCAGGATAATTCTCTCAAAAAGCTTACCCAGGATCGAGGTAAGACTAACTGGCCTATAGTTCCCTGGGTCCTCCTTCCTCCCTTTTTTGAAAGTGGGGACCACATTGGCCCTTTTCAGCTTTGTCCATCAGCTTTGTCACTAGAAGGGACTATAGGCCACTTCCTTTATAATCTTTAAAAAGAAAGATACCTTTAACAGTAGACTTTAGTTCAATTTTATTCTGTAATCTTCCAAAAAAAAGTCTCTCTCTTTTATACCAGCTTTTTTTTCTGTTTGTTAATGTTTCCAGCCACGTGGAACTTCCTTTCTACTGGCAGATAATGAAACCTAATCTACAATCGCTAATGCCAGAAGAGCCTGTGAACTTGGCAAAGATCAAGTACAACCTAGATATAGAGTCAGGTTTCTCTCTAAACCCTGCCCTGGGAGTACTGCAGCCTCACACAGATCACAAGTTCACGCTCACTTATGCTCCAAAGGAGGTATGGGTTGTGATTCCTTGCTATCTACACACTGCAGAGATGTATTTTTACACAAGCCATGAAGTCTTTGCTATGGAGCTTTCTGAATTAGATTTAATTAACTAGTACTATACTGTGATAAAATTTATTTTAGGGAGTTACTCAAAGAGAGCATGTTCTGGTTGAAAAAATACTGAAAAAATGTCAAGTCCAACATTCTGACCACGTATCATTTCCATACCAATTTAACTTCATTAGCTTCAATTAAAATACTGTTGAGTTAGAGTGATGTGAGAGCAGGGTTGGCTCAGTATATTTATAGAAATGTGATCCAAACAGATTAGGCCCAGAACCGGGGAGGACTCTGTTACGTTAATGATTGGATGCATACGTGTCTAAAAGAAAAAATAAAGGTGAAATTCATTGTTTTTTTTAGAAAGGCTTTAAAACACATTAATGGAAATCTATTTCCATATTACATTATTCATGTTAATAGTATTAATAGTATTAATGTGTTAATATAGTATATATAGTATTAATAAACAAGTGAAGTCCCTGCAAAGCATTGAAGAACTGAGGTCCATCCAACTGGATATCATTACTTCATACCATTAGGTTAGAGAAAGATGTTTCTCAAATGTTGTGTTGCCAACAGAAACACATTAATAGCATTTCTTTGTTAAATATAGACAAGCATCACAGTCAATGACATTTGATTATAGTGAGGTAGAACTATTCTTTAGCTTTTAAAGAATTATATTGATGTTCTTGATTTATTTATTATATTGCATCCATTTTCCCACTTCAATTATTTTTTTTCTTTTGGAGATACATGGTTAGTTAATAACGAATTCCGTTTATTTCCTTTTTTGTATAGCTGAAGGATTATCACAGTGTGATTCAGATCGTACTGAGAGATATCCCAGAGCCACCAAGGTAAGCTGAGAAGCACTAATAGCAAATAGTGAAACAACGGACTTTTTGGTAATATGTGTATCTGTGATTTATTTCTCCAGTGATAGTAATGCTGGTGGGAAATGCTCGATTCTAAAGAATTCATCTACAGAAGAGGTAGCAACACAAATGGCATCAACAAAAAGTTCCCTGCATTGACTAACGCTCATACTTTAGCTTTCCCTGGAACACCTCTGTTGGCAAGAAGTGATTCATGTCTTTTCATTCATAAAGGCCAATGAACAGCCATCAGATGTTTATCATTTCCAAACACCAGCAATCTCGATTAAATTAAACTCATCATCCTAGATGCTTTATATACCAATGCCTTCCCTGTACTTCTTTAGCTTAATTTATCTCTTTAGGTTAATATATTACATTATTTCTTCAAGCCAGTTTGAATTCTTTCACTACTTCCTTTTTCGAATGATCTATTTGAGAAGTTTCTAAATACTATTTTCCCCCCCATAAAGTATTTCAAAAAATAAAGTCTCAGCCAAAAAGAGAGAATTCACCATGACCTAAGAGCCATCTTGTAACATTTCTATACAAACAGTATTTGTTTGAGAAGGTTGTGGGTATAGTGCACACTATCCTATATAGTGGGCACGTCTACACATGCATTTACGCACAACTAAATTTAATGCGCATGAAGCAATTTCTGGCAGGTGTCAACACGTGCAGGGACTTGGCACTAATGCTAGTCCCAAGTCCCTGCAGCCCTGCCATGTGCCCTATGGCCACCAGGGGGAGCTCCAGCCTCTGGCCACAGGGCTGCCAGCACTTGGCAGCCACCTTGACGCTAGAGCCAGGTGCTAGCACCTGGTAGCCATCTGGGAAACTATGATCCCTAGCATGGGCGACTAGTGCCACCGGAGGGGGGTGGCACATGCCCCCCCTGCAACCAGTCCCACCAGGCAGGGGCGGTGAATCCCCCCATGGCTGATCCCACTGCCCCGGGCACACCCGTGGCCAATTCCACAACAGCCAATCGCTGCAGCCACTTCTGGGAGTGGCCCCAGGGGCGGCTGCGGCGACCGGCCGATGCTTGTAGCAGGGGCACTAGCGCTCCTGCCTACACCCCCTGGCCGTTGCCTAAGCGGTGAGCGTGGCCGGTCAGGGGGTGCATCTGCGCTCTCAGGGGGGTGCACATGCACCCCCATGCACCCACTACGCGTTGCCACTGATCCCTAGCCAGCCCCTTCCCTGCCCAGGAGCCGCATGCCCAGCGCAGGGACAGCATACAGCAACTCCCTCCTTGCCCACTCTGCCTCCCCACGCCAGGGCTGCCCCTGCCCTTGCCAGTGATGCCCAGTGCCCTGCTGCTTCAGCCCAGCCCCTGCCAGCGACAAGCAGCACCCCATGCTCCTACTGGCCATGGTGCTGGGCCCAGCAGCCCCCCCTCCCCCACTTCTTCCCCAGGCCCCACGACAGCTGCGCACCTGCCAGCGGGGGCCAGGGCACTAGATACAGGAGGCCCTGCCTGACCCCCACCTCCTGCACTCTGTGGTCCCCGCTACCCGCACCCCCGCTACCCCCTGCCCACCTCCAGCACCACTCTCAGGACATGCACGTGGGTGAAATAAAAAAAACAACTTTATTACCCTCACAACACCCACCCCCATCTCTCCCCCCTCAACCAACAGAGCCCCTCCCCACCCACCAACAATAAAAAGCCACAAAAGTGGGAAACTATATGCAAGGGGAAAACTATTTACAATATTTTGGATCTTCAAGCCCAGAGTGGGGGTTTGGGGCAGGGGGCAGGCAGAGCAAGTGCCCAGCACCCCATCCCCTGGATGTTCCCCAAGACTGGGCCCAGGCTGGCCCCCAGTGGCATGGCAGACCCGGCACTAAAGTTAATGCCGGGTCACGTCTACACATGCATTAATGTGCATTAACTAATCACACCTAAATTTGATACCTGCATTTTCAGGTATCAAATTTAGGTGCGATTAGCCTAAGTTAACGTGCATTAAGGGTGTGCATGTGTAGACGCATGCCTGTAATACTCATTAACTTAGGTTAGTGTGCATTAACATGCCTCGTGTAGACGTGCCCAATATTCTGTAATATTTTTTTACTGAGTATTTCATGCAAAGATCTCTAATGTCTTTACAAGTGTTAATTCTCACCATGTCCCACAGTTCGGAGAAACAAGATATGATTCTTGGAAACACACGCCCCAGAAGAGATGATGTGATAGCCCTGGAAATAGAAGTTAAAGGTTCAACAGAACCATTTCAACTGCTTTTGGAACCATATGCCATTTTCATCCCTGGGGAAAACTTTATTGGTATTAATATTAGAAAATCCTTCAAGGTGTGTCTGCTTCTGATTTTGTTACTGCTTATGGTATAACCAAACACTGCGATATTACTAGAAGACATATTGGTACAGTCTGAGGATGTCAAACAGTGGGCCTATTGGCCATATTTGACCCATTGAGGTGGGTCATACAACCTACAGGACTTTTTGCTGTGGCTGTTGGAAGCCAAGGAGTTAATACCACTGCTCATGAAGCTCCATAATTGGAGCTGCTGGAGCCATAGTTTCAGAGAGGCCAACACCCAGGGGTTAATGCTGCTAGCTGATTTTGGTTTTTGGTTGCTGCTGGTGGCTAAAATCTGCGATGTACACCGCTAAGTGATGGCACCCCACAGATCAACCACTATTAACATTTTCTCAGGGTTGCACTGCTTTGTGTACCAGCTGTGGCTCCTCTAGTCCGGCAAATTGGACTTGACTCTTGCAGCAAACTTCCTTGCAGGAGGCTTCTCCCGCAGCTGATGATCAGGGACTCGGAACAGTTTCTTCAAATAGTTAGTTTGCCCAAAGGTCCATATCAAGCAGCAAAAGGGGTTAAAATCACAGAAGGGTCTGTATGTGTACATCTTGTCTCACTAAAACCTTATTCTTGCCTTGCAAGTCCCATTCATTGCTCTGTCTGGGCTGGGAGGGGCACAGAGCTCTGCAGCGGATCTTCTCTGTCTGTCTGTCTGTCTGTCTGTCTGTCTGTGTCTCTCAGGGTGTGGACTTGACACATTTACTCTGCAGCATTTTCAGTGCTGTTCTCTAGTATGAAGTTGTTTCTGAAGAAGCCAGGAGTATGTTAACTCCAGGAGAACTTCCCTGGAGCTTGCAGTCTTTCTGGGTATATGCTGTGATCTTTGTGCGTTGGAGTCAGAGATGAGCAGACACAGACAGCACAAACCCCCAGTATTTCATACCTTACAAATAAATAGGGAGTATTTGATAGTGCTATTGTCAATAAATGGTCTTGTTGCAGGCTGCTGTGAAAGCATAAAATGTTTTGTTTAGCTCATTAATTTTTAACTGTTTTAGATGTGGAACAACAGCAAATCATCTGTCAAATATTCCTGGGGAAAAATCAGTGAATGTGATATACTTGAAGTTGAACCTCATACTGGATTCATAGGTGAAATTTCCAAGCCTGTACATGACTTTTTAAAATAAAACCCTGTAAGTTATTAAGAGATGAAGAGCAAAGTGGTAAAGTGTCATGTTGCTAAAATGTGTATTATAAAGTAGATGCTGGGGAAGTCATCCGACTGACTTCCTTGTGTCCTTTTTTTAAATTGCCTCTCATTCCTTCTTCCCTCAGAAAATTGTCCCCCATCTTTCCCCTGTTGCAAGACTCTGTGCCCTCTCCATATCCATAGACTGGGTTTTTTTTGTTTTGTTTTTTTAAATCTAGAAGCCAATGAATGCTGTGAATTTGAACTGAACTTTACTGGAGGCAAACCAGGACATGCCAGCCACAATCTGCACTGCAAAATTGAACACTCCACAGAGCCAGTTGTGCTGCACGCTGAGGCTGCTTTTAAGGTGAGGACAAACATAATTTTTCAGGAGAACTAGGTGGTACTAGGATACTTGTAGCCTTTTATCTTGGCTGCCATCAAATCCAGCTGCAAAATTGGTGATGCGCAGATTCTTGTCCACTAACAGCTGTTGGGTGCTGTATGTGAAAGAAGTTGGTGATGTTGATCCAGTTCCTACAGGGTGCCCCTTGCTTCTTCAGCAGTCTAGCACTGGCTATAAGAGGTGTTTATAAGTGAGAGGGATGCTTATCTCACTGCTTCTGAAGGCAGGCTCCTTGCAGGCACCAGGGACCCCTTGTTTTCCTCCGTTCCCCTCTCTCTCTGCCACCTCACCATCTCCCTCTGTGTTAGGGACTCTCTGTGACCTCGACACCTCTCTCGTGCCAGATGCTCCGTGTGCTCCCAGTTCTCGCTTCTCTCATTCATTGTCTCTCATCTTCCCCCCAGGCCAGGGCTCTGTGTCTGTCCGTTTCCCCCTTTAATCCCATACCCCTCACACAAGGGTCTCATTCTGGACTTCCACATGTTCCCCTTACCAAGGTGTGTCTGCCTCCCTTTCCTCCCATGCTAAGAGCGCTGTGTGCATTCCCGTTCTTCCCCTTCCTCCCCCCTGGTTATCTTTTTCTTTCCCACAAGGGGTGCCTGTAGACCTGCAGGGATGCAGCTCTGACTCGCTGTAATTACAGTGTGTCTGAGCAGACTCAATGAATCGAGTCTGCTGGAGTGTGAATATTAGTGCACTTCAGCAGCTTCTATGTCTTGTGTATTCAGCATCTCTGCACTTCAGAATGGTGGCAGGGGGCACTTTAGCACTTTAACTAAAGCTCATTGAACATGCTTTAGTTAAAATGTCCCCATCACCATTTTGAAGTGCAGGATGCTGAATACATGAATCACTGCAGGCATTTTAGTTAGAGCAGCTCTCAGACCCACTCTAATTAAAGCTCTCCCCCCCTGGAATACATACAAAGACACCCCCTAGGACATTAGTCAGGATATCAATCTCCCAAGTGCTGACCATGTGCAAGAGGTTCACTGTGTCCTGTACTGCCCTGTTCTGGTTTCCCCTTTTCCCCAAAGTGCATAGGATTTTTGGATTTTTGCTCATTAATGCCTGGAACATCCCTTGAGTGTATGAAGCTGATCAGGCAGGACATTCTGTACAAGCAAATAGAGAGGTGCCACTCAGTGGAGTATAAGGTCTCACCTTGCCTCACTAGTTAGTCTATGCTAGCAGCCCATCATTGACCCCTGTCCTCAGCAACTTCTGTGGTGCATAAACCATGGGCTCTGACAGTTTCTGCAAGGCAGACCTTGAAAGCTAGATGCCAAGGGGTTGCTCTTAGTTTCTGCATGCAATTTGCACCACGCAAAAAAGCTGGGTGTATGAATCTGAGCAACTGCAGCTGTGTGAGACTTGTTCTCACAATTAATTAAGAGGAAGAACACATGGACTATGCTTACAGGTTGCACCCATCACTCAAAGATACCTGCTGGGGCATGGTTTGTGGGGGAAATTGCTGCTGGGCCTTCTAAATGTCTGGTGCCCAATATGTGGTATGTACAAGATGAGGCCCTGCTGCTTTGTGTGTCATGTCTGTTCTATACCAGATAAGCCTCATCCACCACCCATGTGAAGTAAATGGGAAAACTCATGCTGATTTGTTCAAGTCTCAAAACAGGATTTTGGTCTTTAGGCCCATCAGACACCCATTCATGCGGACTAAATTCATGTGCAAATGCAAATCTGAAATCCCAGTCTTCATTTTAATCAGAGGAGCAATTTCCATGATGACCATATGATCTTTTCTGCAGTAGATATAATACTTTTGCTTTCAGATATTTTATGTAACTATAAACATAAAACTTAACTAATGTGTGCTTTATAATTTGGCAGTTTTGGTAAAAAAAAACATTTTTAAAAGTTATGTTATTTCTTCCTTGGTGTCCTAGGGTCCAGTTCTTTCTGTTGGTGTTCCATCACTTCAGTTGGGTTTGATTAAGTTGGGAGAAAATGTGTTAAGCTCCTTTGAGATTCAAAACCTAAGTCCATTGCCAGCACAGTGGAGAATGCAAGAAAGTCGAGCCTGTTTAGCTGAAAGGAATGAAGAGGTAGGTCATACCCTGTGAACAACCATACCCAGAGCCAGCTGTTCTCTCATCTTTGCTATTTATCTTTCATTGTCATTCTTATCATGATGATCAAACTCTTTGAACATCAGAAAACAGTTTTATTAAGTGAAATACTGTTGCCAGTTTTCTTCATTTCCTTTTATCACAGATTCCCTGATGATCTAATTTTATGACAGGTTGAACATTTCCTTTGGGAACAGCTAGTGGCTTTAACTCCCATTAATATGAATAGAAAGTGAAGGGATTAATAAGAAGTGCTTATAATATCTCAGAAAGATGTAATTGCAGAATTAGGGCTTATGAATATTAAACAATAAATTTGAAAAAATATAAAGAATAAAAATATACAAATAATTAAATGCTTCCTGCTGGCAAAATACCAACCAACACTGCTTATGAGCACTCAGGTTGTATATTCTGTATCCTATTATTTGTCTGCACAGTCTATTTTATAAAATAATCCCTCTAATATTATGGCTCAGACATGGTTTAAAGTGATGATATTCATTTCATTATTCTTCTGTACCTGCCCCAATGCCTGACTTGCCCACTCTGTTCCAAGTTCTTTTAAACACAGTTCATCTTGGTGTAGTTCTAGCCATTTTGACCAGGTACTGCCTCTAGCCTCATGAAAATCCAGATTTTGTTCCACATCCACGTAACAGAAGGATCTTACAGACACAGCAGTTCATGTCATGTTCACGCTCTGCTTTAGGCATCATCTTAAATCTCCTTAAGGCTGACACCAATATGCAGTAAACCACCAAAGTACTGAGCAAGCGCATATTTTGGTTTTTTGCAATCTGTATTGGCTATCTGTAAATTTCCAGACTGCTGTTAAAGTATTTTGACCTACATGGATCTAGGACTTCCCTGCTTGGGAGATCACATTTCACTTTTTCTCACGCAGCTGCAATTGAATTTAGCAGGTGAAAGCTGAATCTTGAGCTCCTGTGGTTTGAATGTGAGGAGGTGGGCTGACCTGCTGTTTTGATAAGAATTTATTCTGATGTGAATGTATACCCTGCTTAAGCTGTAAAATAGCCAGAAAGCATGGACCTAAAGAACATGCAGCAAATCTGGGATTTGAGGAAGAGGGCATATTGTCTGATGGTTGATAGCTATGAAGTAGTCTTCAGTATTTTGGTGTATAGTTTAGTTAATTTTTGCTGGTACATTGTGGGGTTTGTGGATGGTTTTGTCTTGTATATAACAATGGTTTAACAATCATTTTGTCTTGTATATATTTTGGGGGTCGGACTCGATGATCTGGGGGTCGGACTTGATGATCTATTGAGGTCCCTTCCGACTCTAGCATCTATGAATCTATAACGTTGTATGTTCGAGAAGAAATGTTACGGGCACCTAAAATCTGAAAGTGGTGCTTTCTATTTTCTTATAAAACAATAAAAGGGGAAATGTTGCCTTTAGACCTTTTCACATAATTCTCAATGCAGTCAGTGGGAGTTATGCATGCTTATTTGAAGGCAAAATTTGATCTCATCACAAAGCCCAACCTTTCTCGGATGGACCAGGTCAATCCTGCAGGTCAGTTATTAGTTGCTTCTTACTGCTAAAAATTGAAGATCCATGCCATATTCCTAGTACCTTGATCTTGATCAGTTGAGACTCTGTGGCCACATCTACACAAGACACTGACTGCACAGTTGTCATTGTGCAGTCATTTAGTACTTGCATACCCGAGTAAATGATTGCGCAGTAACCAGCATTACTGCACAGTAGCATTCCCACATGGCTGCCTGGTGACACTGGCTGAGCAATAACTCATTATTACTGCACAGTAGCGTCACGCCATGGTTCGTGCCCTGCGACGCAACTGCGCAGTACTTAACGAGCTACTGCACAGTAAGCGTCTCATGTAGACACAGCCTGTGTCCTTTAGCTAGAGCCTATCTTCATATGTCAGAGGTATGTCACCAATCTGAGTTCTTGGTATCAGTGGTTCACTGCTGTCTGAGAGCTTCTGAGAGATATTTGTCATGTTTGTTTCCTCTCTGTTACCAGGTATCCCCATTCACAGTTCGGCCATCTGATGGAGAATTACCTCCTTTAGGCGAATGCAGAGTATCAGTCCTGTTTGAGGCCCAGCAATGTCAGCATCTCCAGACTGTGTTAGAACTAGTGGTAGAAAACGGAGAAGAAAGGTGAGGGGTAGGGGATGGGAGGTTTCTTCACCATCTTTTATGTGTCTTGTGATTTCGATGGTTATCTCCTGAAACAACACAATGTGTCAGAACCTCAGCACTCCGGACAGAGCATATAGCCTTTCATTAAACTATGCAAATAAAAACTTGGGTAAATTTCTGCCTGCATGCTGTTGTGTAGTGTACACATCTCACTGACAGTACCTTTGTGTGTCCATTTCCAGTCATCTTCCTGTTTTTGCTGAGGTGCAGACTCCCCAGGCTTGTCTGATTTCCAGTCACCTAGTATTCAGCGAAATTTATATTGGAGTTCCTGCACAAGCAAACATCAGACTTTTTAACCAGATGCTGCTGCCTGCAAAATACTGTTGGGGAGAGGTAAGCAGCTTTCTAGTGTGAGGAATAGTGTTGACAGGGTGCAATAAAGGCAGGGGCTGTAAGTACTACCACAATACAAATAATACAAATGATGAGTGAACTGAGATGCATTGTAGAACGTGTGTGTTGTGACCACTATGATTGGGTCAGCAGCAGCGGGTAAATTTGGGAACCTTGTGCACCAAACCTCCTGAGATAAGAGCAACTGTCATCTGGTACTAATAGCTGGCTTGTATTCTGTATGTTGGCCTGTCAGTAGAGCAGGGATAGGACATGTTTAGCCAGTGCATTAGAAGAGGATTGCACTAGGTAAGGATTCCCTTTGATTCTGCTAAGCTAATTTATGATGCACCATAATAGTGTGTGATGATGTTACAGAGTAGCAAAGAAGATCCTTACTTTGATGGTTATCCCAACTTAGTCCTTTGTGGGCAGGCATGTGGAACAAGTGTGCAGGTAATAATAATTACAGAAAGTGTGTAAGGGTGAGATCCAGAAGAGCACTTGGGCACCACAGCACCGAATGATGCAGTGCATAGCTTTTAGGAGGCTGGTGCCTGGTCTGGAATCCAGAACCTGAGCAAGATTTCTTACTCATTCAGTGTATGGGGGCTCAGGACAGAATCCAAAACAAACACGCATAGTGTTTGTGCCTTTTACATGGAGCAGTTATTAAAATGGTCCTTGGAGTGAAGATGGGAACCCAGGTCTCCACACGTCCAGCTGAGTGCCCTAACCACTATACAGAGTCGTATTCCTTCTTGCTCTCTCTTTCTGGCTTACTGAGTGGCATAGCTGCAAGGCTGGAGAGTGCTATCCCAAAATAGCCTGTCGGCTGAGGTTAGGCACCTCCAGGGATGGGGGAGATGAGTATTTGAACCCCCTCAGGGAAGGGGGGAATGCAACCCAGGGCTTTTGCGTCCTGAATCAGTGCTTAAACCAAGTGTTACATAAAAAGGAGTTGCTGCCACCACTGATCTTTTAGAAAGAAGCAGCAGCTACCAGGCTTTGCTGTGTGGAATAGCACACCGTAGGTGGGTGGGCGTGTGTGGAGTACTCCAAAAATATCTAGTGGATCCAGCCCTTCCAGGGAGGTAGGTGGAAGAGCCCCTAGTTTCTGAATCTTGAGTAGGTTGAGGCATGAAAGAGGTGCCGAGTTGCTTACCCAAGTTGCTTAGACAGGTGCTTCTGGGCATGCTGAGAAGCAGAACCTTGGCACCTGGGAAACGTCAGGGTCAAGGAAGTCTATTGCCTAGAAAGCTTAATCACCTCCAGGGTTAGAAGGCAGCTGAGCTGCGGTGTTCAGGATCGCAGATACAGAGTGAAATGCCTTAATTCCCCCCAACCCCGACTTAGTTCTGTTTGAATGTGGCCTTAAGCAGCTAATTGCAATATTGAAATGAAGAGATGTTTGAAGTGGGTCTGGATTTATAAGTTATAATTGTGACCATCCTTAAGTGTACAGGTTGCTTCATCCTTGTGGTTATCCTCTCTCTGAGAATGCAGTTTGAAGGGAAGAGATTTAACCAATTGCAGGTAATGCTTATCTCATCTCTCTGGCAGCTCATTGGGAGTCAATCTGCTCTCTGCTCTGCCATCATCACCCCAGCAAGTGGCATTTTGGGCCCAAACGAAGAAAAAGAATTGTGTGTGGAGCTGACAGCTAACACTCTGGTAAGTGTAAAAACCAGCTAAAAATGAACAGGGAACCAGGAGTTTCTTAATTTAGCACTATGAGCAGGTCAGCCACCCAGCTTACTTAATTGAGGCCGGGCAGCATAGTGTCCAGGGTTATCGGCCAGTTTATTTTACAGGAGACAGCCTTGTCCCCACAGTAAAAAGAAAGCAACAAATGAAGCCAGTGTGCCAGCAGCAAACAAGCAAAGAAACCCAAACTTGCAGTCTTTCCGCAGCCCATGACACAAGGCTGGAAGACTCTGTACTTCTCCCTAAGCAGCAGTAGCATCTCCTCTCCCCCTTGCACTCTGCTAGCCGAGCTTTCAACCCCTCCTCACTTATTATTCATCAGTAACAGCTGGCCTTCCAGTTCTCCAGCCAGGTAGCCTACAAACCACTGCCCACCAGCAACTGGGCTCCAGCCCCTGCAGGCTGTACTTCCTTACAGCCTCCATTTGGTAGTGGTTAGGGCCACTCCATTCACAGAGCCCGAGCCTGGGCATCTTCAGGAAACATTATAAGACCATTTTGGGGGGGCAGGCTTTTAGCAAGAGTTACATTTTGGGGCATTGTCTGGGGAGTTTCTTGTTTAGCACATGCTATTTTATTTTACTATTTTATCTTTATTTATAATTTTCATAATGTTAGTTATTGTAAGCTACCCTGAGGCTTTTCCAGAGAGGGTGTCATGGAAATCTAATAAATAAATCAGTAAAACAGATACATAAACATAGTGTTGCCTAGCACAACACAGATTGCATACAGTTTTCTGAAACTGCATTTCAAATATGCCTTACAGATTACCGTGATTGAAGGCAGTAGATGATATGGTTTGAATTATACACACTTTAAATCAGTGCTGTTTTATTTCTTTGCTTCCCAGCCTTCTTTGTTTGCTTTTTATTATGCCTGTTTCTTAATACAAGATATTTAGTGCTTCTTTCATAACATACACATCCTCCCTTTTGTCATTGCGCCAGCCGTAATTTAGAGGATTGGCATCTCTTCTACAGCAGTGCTTTGATTTTACGGATGTAACTTAGCTCACAGAATGTATTAGCGTAATTGAGAGCTTGCATTAAAAAGGAGTTGCTGTGGTCAGCACTCTGCAAGCAGGACTATGAGAGATGCCACAGGATTTATCAGCTCTGAAATAAAGAGGCTTCTGCTGTTCAAGTTTATAATTTATGCAGGCTGTAGAGATTCGTGGAGTTTAAGACCAAAATGATTATCATCGTCTAGTCTGACTTCCATCACAAATGTCACCCTGCAGTTACTGCATCAAAGCCAGTGACTTGAGGCCAAATGAAATCATCTCTTTTAGAAAGCCACCTAGTCTTGATTTATTGTCCTTATATTCTTAAGAACTTCAGCACATCCAAAACTGTGTGCTGTATGATAAGTAATGGTAAGTTTTGCTAACTGAAGTGTGGATAATGCTTAAAGCAAGGAAGAGAAAACGGAGAGGTTCCAGAGGAGGCAGTCTAGTACTGAATTCAGATTAGGAGGAGTTAAGGTGATGCAACAGCCCAAGTAAATTTTCCTCCATATTTGAGGTGTTTACTTGACCAGAAATTACCAATGGATATAAGAAAAAATGGGCTAAGGATCTCTGACTTGGCATGGTTTTTTACATTTACTCTTGAAACACGTTCTTAATTTTCTTTATGATCTATCGTATTCCTTGCGTTAACTTCCCACTTTCTTATCTCATTCCAACTGCTCCTTACCTGCTGAAAATTACAGGAGGAAAGACTGGATTAATACGAGATCAGGCAACGGGTTTGGTTTCTGTAGGCAATTCACCACTGGAAAAAGTTTTCTTTCAAGTAGAAGTGGCAAATGTCCTAATGGTGTATTTTTAGGTTTATTATCTGGCAATAGCATGAAACGTACAGTAACAGCAGCACATTTTTACTTTTGTACCTCCTACTAAGCAAGTTGGATGTAGAGTTTGGGTAAGATAAAAGAACCCAAAAGACTTCCCAGTTCTACTGTGATTCTGTTTTTAATCCAGTCAGACGTAGACCTGTCTTATTAATACACTTTTTGATGAGATCATGTTTTTTCTGTATCCTTAACTCCATTTACAAGACTGTATAATCTGGCCCTTATTAGGGTGAGCTGAAGGACCTTACCCTCTGCTGTAGCATAGAAGACATGAAGGATCCTCTTTTTCTGGCCATTTCTGGACGAGTAAAGGGACTGCATGTCACATACTCAATACCCTATGACAGTGAAGTTATCAGGTAAGTGAGGACATTTAAAATCACCACTCAAACCAGGTAAATGAAGGCATATATAATCTTCCCTAAGCTTGTTTGTCTGCACTCAATGGATACACTATGTTAGTCCTCCTTGGAGTACTACTCAAAACAAGCAGTGATCAGTGCATAAAGAGGGAATGACTGGCTAGGATGCAGTACTGCAAAGAAGGACCTGGGGGCTACAGTGGACCAGAATATGAGCCAAGTGTGCTCTTGTTGCAAACAAAGCCAACAGCCAAAACTGGGTTGTATTAGTGTCACTTGCAAATCAAGGGAAGGGATTCTTTTGATCTATTCAGCACTGATGAGACCTCACCTGGAGTACTATGTCCAGTTTTGGGCCCTGCACTTCAAGAAGTATGTGGACAGTTTGGCATGAGTCCAGCACAGAACAATGAAAATAATTATAGACCTGGGAGGTGAGACAGGTGACAGATCAGTAACAGGTTAAACAGATGCTTTGCTGGGATGGTTTAGTCAGGGATGATTCTACCTTGTGAAGTCCCTTCCAGCCCTACTTCCCTGTGATCCTAAAGGCTCTGCTAAAGCATTGATCAGAGCATGCCTCACTTGAGTTGCGCAGAGTTTAGACTGAAATATGCCTATAAGTTTAGGCCATTCAGATCCCTGACAAAGCTCTGACAAGGTTAAGTGTTAAGATTGGTTGATAAGGCTGGGGCCAGATGGGCCAGATTGCAGAAGATAATGACAAAATGTTCAAGGATTAGTCAGTCTGGTGGAGATGTTGACATTTACTATGTAAATGCCTTATAAGAACAATTACACCTCGATAGGAACAACATTTTTTTGATCAATGCATAAGCGGGGAACTGGAAATCCTCAGAACTTTGTACTGGTCTGGGGACGCAATATGTGAGTTGTGCCCTACACATGGGGCTGACACCTTGTAACCATTTTCTGTGCCTGTTAGTGAGTAAGTGTTTTGTAGGTAATAACTCTGGCAGAACTTTTGCCCCTGAATTGAGCCTGTGATCATTCTTCCTATAACATCAAGGTCTTCAAGAGAACGCAGACCGCCTATAGCAGCAGCAGCACAGACGGCACTCCGACAGAGCACTCATACACAGAAAATGACACCAAGCACACAAACGGAGGACAGCACACTGTATTTGTCCACCTGTTGTGGAAGCTTTGCTGAGCCAAGCCTCTCAGGCACTAGTTTGTAGAAAACCAGTGACTAGTCTGAGAGAGAACACTGGATCAGTTCTTTGGGGACTGTAATTCCTGGTCAATCCAACCTTTGTCACTTAGCAGCTGCTGAGTGCAACATGGCTCATTATCACAGCAAAAGCAAAGGTAGGGAGCTTGTTTGTTGCCAGTTATTGATGGCAACATGGAAAACTTTAAGCTCCTTAATTTACATTTCCTTTGCAAGGTTTCGAGTAACATCCGCTCTGAACAGAGGATGTAGAACTGAAGACATAACACCCTGAGTCAATTGCTAGCCATGATAGATGGAGATGGGAAGCTGGATTATGGACCGATTGCATCTCTGCCTTAAAAGATCCAAATAATGAGAAGAAATGTGGTTTCCACATTCGTGAG